AACCTTTCAACAAAGGAAGATGATTAATTTTTGTGGTTTGATTTTGAATGGGAAATGGGATTACACCGAATGGTCGAAAGTTTTAGTCTTAATCAGGATACGTGGCTGCCTGTGATGGAAGAGTTGCAAGAAGAGGCTCTGGACTCTCCACGTTCATAACTCGTCCAACTTAAAAGTGTACACGGGCCCGGTCATCCAGTGGGCCAACAGGCTTGGCTCAATTTCGATCGGGTTTGATATGATTTTTTTATTTAAATCTGATCCGACCCAATTAGATTATTCTATTAATATTTTTATTTATGTTTATTTTAAAATTAAATTTGTTGTCTTATAATTTTAATAGTAAAAGATATATGGATGGACCATAAGGATCGAGTTTATTTGTTAAGATAAATTTCACTTACACTCCTTATGATTTTAACTTTTTTCACATGATTATATATATTATATTATAAATTATAGATTATAGATTAAAAATCTCAAAATTATAAATATAGACACACACTACTATCAATGTTATGTGGTTTAAATGATCATTGTTTTAAAGTCAAAGTAACTCACAAATCCTTGTATTATAACATTGTTTTTTAATTTATTCTCTCCACTCAAAATTAATCAATACAGTTCATGCACTCACAATTTTTATAATTAAGTCCTACCAAACTCTATCTTAGTGTTGTTGGCATGGTGCTGATGTGTCAGAGAAAAAAATTTTTTTACTACATCAGTTTTTCTATGCCACATCATAAGAATTAAATTACACAAAATTACAAAATACAAAAATTAAATTGAACAAAACTCTATAATACATGGATTATATTGAACAAAGTTTTATAATACATGAACTAAATTTAACAAAACTCTATAATATACGGACTAAATTGATTGCTTTTATAATTTTTCATCATTCATTATTCATATCTAGTAGGAAGTTATTGGTGAGAAGAAAACTATTAGCATTGTATTCATAATACTAATGCCTCATTTTTACCATTAAAACACTTATTTTGTTGCTATTGTCATAGGAAATTGATAACAAAAGCAAACCAGTAGATCGAATTCATCAATTGCTTATATGCCAACACAAGAAAGTATAAAAAAGAGAAAATTGTGAGAAATAACCTTTTTCGTGAGCCCAATTCAAAAATATCATTTTTTATGATTTTAACTATTTTTTATCAATTTTTGACATGACTTGACAACAATACCCTTTAAACAATTTTAGACAAATTAAAATAGTTTTAGTTTTCTCTATCTCGTCATTCAGATAAAAATTTCAAAATTAAATCTCGATTTTTCTTTCTGGTCAAATACTGTTTATCTTGTCATTCAAAGAGCAAAGATGACATTAAGCTTTCTTTTATTTTGTTTTATTTTTTTGGATGGTGGATCATAGGATTCTCAAAGGTGATGAATAGCGAGTTTGCTTTTTTATAGTGATTGCAAACAGCATGATGAATGTGGTAACTGGATGTTTTCTGATAATGACTTACTTTGAAACGTGAGTTACGATCGAGATGCTTGTACTAATGAGTTGAATCAGATTGGTTAAGATGATGAGCTTAGGGAAAAAGAACAACTAAAGCATGTTGGATGGATTTTATAGTGGTCCACTGTTTTATTGTGTTTGGGATTGGGATGATTGTTAAGCATGTTTATTAACGATTTTGATTTTTTTTATGAGATTTTGAGTTAAAATTGTTTAGGGAATATTTTATAAAAGAAGTATATTTTATTTTTGCATAAGAGGAGTGAGTAAGGCCCTCCCGATAGGGATATATTTTGTCTTACTTTGGACGGTTATGGATTTTTGTAACCTATCTTTTATGAATGCACAATTTCATGACTTAAAAAAAATTCTTTTTTTAAATAAGCCTCATGCATAAGACGTTTCTGATAATAGACCTCTTTATAATTTTAATTGTTTTTATACAAGAGAATTAAAATTTAGATAAAATTACCCTTAATGAAACCAATCCATTTATTTAGCTCCACGCTTCAACCCGAAACCTATTAATGGGTAAAGTATGTTTAGGTCTGCATTTCAAACTGACTCATATTTTTTGAGCTTTTCTCGTTAGACTATTTATCTTTAGAGTATTCCTTACTAGAAAGAAAAACATTTAAGCATTTTGAGCATTTTGGAGTAATTTTTTATACACAAAGAAAACTTTTGAGCGTTTTAAGTATTTTTAAGCATTTTGGAGTGATATTTGATATGTGAAGAAAAACCTTTGAACATTTTGAGCGCTCTTTATTAAGTAGGCATATTCGTTAATTATGTTATTAAATGGAATATAGTGTATCGTTTGAAGTTGTTGATATTTTTAAATAGAATTAAGTAGTTTTGGTGGTTTTTGGACATTGCGTGACTAATTTTTAGGTATTGCGTGACTGACTTTAGACATTGTGTGATTAACTTTGGCATTATGTGATTAGTTTTTAAGCATTGCGTGACTAATTTTTAGGTATTGCGTGATTGACTTTGAGTATTACGTGACTAGTTTTTAAGTATTGCGTGACTGGTTGATATGGTATTGTGTGATTAGTTAGTAAGGTATTGTGTGACTTAGGCGTTGCTTAAAAATCAACCACGTAATACTTAAAAACTAATCACGAAATGTCTATAACTAATCATGTAATGTCTAAAAACCAGTCACACAGTGATTAAGTCACGCAATGCCTAAAAACTAATTTCGTAATACTTAAAAATCAGTCTAATCAATTTCAACTCCACAACTTTGGGATTTTATGAATAAACGAATAAACTCAAGAACCTAAAACACATACTTTTATTTTATTTTTTGCTAAGCCATGAAATTGTGCATTTCATAAAAGATAGGTTACAAAACTCCATAACCCTCCAAAGTAAAACAAAATATATCCTTATCGGGAGGTCTTTGCTTACTCCTTTTATATAAAAACAAAATATATTCCTTTTATAAAATACTTCTTGAACAATTTCAACTCAAAATCGCATAAAAAAAATCAAAATTCCCAACAAACATACTTAACAATCATCTCAATCTTAGACACAATAAAATTGTGAATTACCATAAAACCCATCAAACATACTTTAGCTGTTCCTTCTCCCTAACTCCATCATCTTAACCAATCCAATCCAACTCATTAACATAAGAATTTCCATTACAGCACACATTTCGAAGTAAGTCATACTAGAAAGTATCCAATTGTCACATTCATCATGTTGCCAACAATCACCATAGAAGAGCAAAATTGTTGCTTATTGTTCTTGAGAACCCCAAGATCCACCATCCAAAAAAATAAAACAAAATAAGAAAGAGCTTGTCATCTCTGCTTGTTTGGTATGGTAAGATAGATAGTATTGACTAGAACGAAATCGAATTTAATTTTGAAATTTTATCTAGATGACAGGATAGAGAAAACTGAAACCATTTTAATTTGTCTAAAATTGTTTAAAGGGTATTGTTGTCAAGTCATGTCAAAATAGGTTAAAAATAGTTAAAATTATAAAAAAGGATATTTTTGAATTAAGCTTATGAGGAAGGTTATTTCTCATAATTCCCTAAAAAATATATGTGTTTTAAGTCCTTTAGTTTATTGGTTTATTCATAGAACCCCAAAGTTGAAGAGTTAAAATTGATTAGACTAGTTTTTAAGTATTGCGAGATTGATTTTTAGGCATTACACGACTTAATTAGTGCATGACTAGTTTTTAAGCATTACATGATTAGTTTTAGGCATTACGTAACTGGTTTTTAGGCATTATATGACTAATTTTTAAGCAATACCTAAGTCACACAATACATTACTAACTAGTCACGCAATGTCTTACTAATAAATCATGCAATGCCTATCATCTAGTCACGCAATGTCATATCAATCAATCATGTAATACTTAAAAACTAGCCATGTAATACCTAAAAACCACCGAAACTATTAAATTTCATTTAATAAGATCAACAACTTGAAATGATATACCGTATTCCATTTAATAACATAATTAACGAATATGCCTACTGAACAAAGAATGCTCAAAATGTTCAAAGGTTTTTCTTCATATATTAAAAATCTCTCCAAAATGCTTAAAAATGCTCAAAACGCTCAAATGTTTTTTCTATGCATCAAAAATTACTCCAAATACTCAAAATATTTAAACGTTTTTCTTTTTGGTAAGAAAAACTCTAGAGATGAATGGTCTGAGAATAAAAGCTTAAAGCATATGAGCCAGTTTGAGGTGTAGACCTAAACATACTTGATTTGTTAATAAATTTCGAGTTGAGGCATGGAGCTAAATAAGTGGGTCTGTTTCATTACGGATAATTTTATTTAAATTTTAATTCTCTTGGTTAAAAACAGTTAAAATTATAAGGAGGTCTGTTGCCAGAAATGTTTTATGCATCGAGCCATTTAAAAAAATAACCCTATAAAAAATACCAAATGATCTACTATGTGGTTTATTGGGACATTGTAGTTTGTTATCTGTTGTTATTTTGCTGTATGGTTTGGATTGTTGTTACAATTGGGTCTTACACTTGTTTTTGTAACTAACTAGTGAAATGTTGTTATTTTGACATCAAAATGTCAAGAAATCTATTGTTCCCTTCTTATTTTGTAATTGATGTAGAGAATAGACAATGTTAGTAATGTGAATACAGGAAAGATGCTACAAAATTTTTGACTCAGCTCAATTCATTTAAGTAATTTTGAGGTAAACGTATGTTTTGATCATGAGCATATGCATGAAAATTAAGGGTCAATATTTTTTTATATTGATCTAGAGGTGGACCGTTGGTTCCTTCTATTAATAAATTTCTTTTGTAAATATACTTGATTTTTTTTAATTAAGTAACATAATTAGTTGGTCCATTTTTATAAAAATAAAAAAATTAATAAAATAATATCATTTTAGTGTATACTTTTTCTTGGATTGCATAAATAGATCAACAATACAAAAGATTTTCATACACTTTATATTTAAGTAAAAATTGCATTTAACAATAATGTTTTAATATTTTCATACACTCCATACCCTCGTTTTAGCTTATAAGAACAACCAACATTCTCATATGTAATGCTAAACAAACAAAAAAAATGTAAAAGTATTTAATTTAGTTTCTATATCATAGAATTTTGTTCAATTAAGTTTTTATATAACAAAATTTTATTTAATTTAATCTTTATATTATAAAATTTTATTTATTTTAATTTTCATATTTTATATAATTTAATTCTTATGATATAGTGAAAAAAAAAAAAATCCAACACATTAGCATCATATCAACATCACTAACATCGATTTGGACACTTGTTTAAACTTTAGAGTTCCTCCCTAATCTTCGAGAGTCGCACGTGGTACAAGCTGCAGTCCAAGCAAAGCCGAAGTCCTTGTGTGTCTTTGAGATGGACTGGACTTCAATCCGGCTTTCACATTGAGAGCACCTAGGAAACAAAGGAAAAAGGTCTTTCAACTTCATAGCATACACTGAAAGATGAAAGGAGTCGCACTTTCACCATCAAACAACTTCAGTTGCTACGCCAAAATCCGAACCGATCAAACACCCCGACCCATCAAAAGCTTAACCCAATTCCAATTCCCATTATTCAACAACAAAAACCAAAACCAATCAAGCAAAAACCAATCACTTCTCTCATTTTCCGTAAACTCAATCAAAAACACAGAGACCCCAATAACCCAACCGCCACCCTTAGTAGTAGTTGGCTCAGCCAATGCAGATATCTATGTGGAAATCGACAGATTACCCAAAGAAGGAGAGACCATATCAGCGAAAAGTGGCCAAACTCTTGCAGGAGGCAAAGGAGCCAACCAGGCAACATGTGGGGCGAAACTTTCTTACCCGACATATTTTGTAGGACAAGTAGGCGATGATGCACATGGGAAATTGATAACTGAGGCATTGGGAAATGGTGGGGTCCGTTTGGAGTATTTGAAGAGTTTGGGTAGTGGTGTGCCTACCGGTCATGCTGTGGTGATGTTGCAGTCTGATGGGCAGAATTCTATTATCATTGTTGGTGGTGCTAATATGAGTTGTTGGCCTGACAAATTGTCTGACCAGGATTTGGATGTAATTAAGAAGGCTGGCATTGTTTTGCTTCAGAGGGAAATTCCGGATTCTGTCAATATTCAAGTTGCTATGGTTAGGAGCCTTTTCCTCATATCTGATGTGCTAATGTGTCTTTTACTATGATCTTTTTCATAGTAAAATGATATTATTTATGGATGCCAAACAGAATTCATAAGTTAATGGACTTACAGAATGTGAACTTTGTTAACTAAATTAGAACCCCTATGAATGATATGAGAATTTGGAAAAAGAAAGGCGTTTATAAGGCCTAGAGAGATACACTGTGTGTGAGAGTGTGTGCAATTTACCATTATGAGATTTTTATAATTTCGAAGGAACTATAGCAAGTTTCTGCAATTATAAAACTTTACAAAGTTTCATCTTGTTAGCATCTTGATGTTTAGTTTTACATAATGTACTAGTTTATTGCAATATCTATTTTTGCCACTTAACATCCTACATTATTATGGATAAGTGGTAATATGTTTTTTCAAATATTATGCCAAGGTTACTGTTTTCTGATGTTAAAGATGTGTTTATATCTGGTCAAAAGTAGTATTCAAATTGACGTAATCATATACCATGGTGGTGCTAGTTTTGCTAAATTAAAATTTACAGTAACCTTTGTGCCCTTTAACATTTAGCTTTATGCCTTAGGTCAAGTGCAACACTTTGAAGAATGTAGAAGTCATTTAATGATTCTTAACTTCAGGTTGCAAATTGATTACTCCGCATTAAATGATCTCTATTTGCTACCCAGGACATTTCTAATGTATCAGAAGGACATAGAAATCCCTAAAGACTTTCTGTTAGCAAGCCTCTGGAAGTGGATCTCATTAACTAGATATAAAACTAGAGTTTAGAAGTAGGAGCTAATTTGTCTTGCAGTTTAAGCTTGTTAAATACAATACTTGTAAGCTGTGTACTATTTATTTTTTTTCCTACTTAATATCATTTTCTTAGAATCTGTATGATGAATTTGTGCAATGAGGATCTTCTACATTGTTCTCTCAGAGCTCAGAGCTCGTCTTTCCCTATGCCTTAGGGAGTGCTCTAGCTAAGCTTTGAGGCTTGAATGTCTCAGTCATATTGAAAATGTTTTGAGGTATGTAACTGTGATATGCCCCTCCACATGGTTGGTTGCATGTAATAATACAATAGAAGTAACTGTGAATAGATTTATATATCAAAATTACACTTAAAATGTTTAATTTGCATATTGAAATCTAAAGTTAGATAGCATAAGTATGACTCCACCTTGACATATCTATTCTAGCCTATATGAGTGTCTTCAGGCTTAGAAGGTAGATTGTTTTCTACGTAGACCTAGGAAGCCTTATTTTCAACTGAGCAATGAAGGCTCCCTTGTTGGCTGGTAGGCTTCAACTACTATATGCCATAGAGCTTACTCCACCTCAACATATCTGTTCTAGTTTATCTGGGTTTCTTTGCAGCTTACTTTGAAAGTAGATTGTTTCGGATAGACCTAGGATGGATGCTTTTGTCTTTTTGCGACACAAGCAACAGTTAGGTTTACCTGTATAAATAGCCAGATCTCAAATAAATTGCTACCCATGAAATTTCTCCTATATTTGAACTTTTGGCAGCCATCAAAATGTTATGAGATTGTTGTCTGCTTGATGAACTTGATTCTGCCTCCTTGGCTACATTTTGACAAATTGTATTGGCTTGTGTAGGTTTGCACATGTGTGAACATCTTCATTAAAATGTTCGTTAACAAAAAAAAAATTCCCTTAAGGGAGGCTTTTGAACTAATTCAAGCTTTTCATAAGTTAGCATCCATCTATTTATGATTGACTTATTTAATCCTTGAAGATGACTCGGGTACTCTAAAATAGTAATGGATAAAGGCTTCCCTGAAACCTAAAGGTGCTGAGTTTATAGTAGATTGATTACTTGTGCTAATAGCATTCCTTTTGACATCGAAGACTGTTTCCTTATGGTGAACTCTTCCATATGATGAATATGGGCAACATGATCTTTTAATGCCTCAATCACAAGGTTGGAGAGAATTAAGGAGATGTTGCTTCTAGAGGTGTTCTTTGAACACTTCTGTATTGTCTTTTAGCTGCTCAGAACTAGAAGAAGAGGGTCTAAGAGAAACTAATACATAGTAATGGGAGAAAACAGACAAACTAACAAGGAAACTGATATTCAATGTGGCATTGGAAACAATATTACTTTCTCAGAACTTGTATGTCTCATCAGTTCTAGTTTAAATACGAGTCAAAATATGAACTGTAATTTAAAAAATAAGTACTGAGAGGTAGAGGAAACGATGGATTATGCAAACCACATAAGACAAGTTTGAGATGCCTATGGAAAATCAGGGATGTTAGTATCGTATGTTTTAAGTTATATGGGTGCTTTTTTATTTTAATATGGTATAAATTTTGCAATTTTATGTTCTTAATGGCAAAATGGTGGCCTGTATTAAATATCTAGTTGCTGGAATTCTGAGACAGCAACTTCAACGTAGTCTTTATTTTTAGAGAGAAGACATTGGGGAATGTTGTGGTTTTTAGGACATAGTTGAGTATTTGTGGACTAGTGTTCTCTTGTTAGAAGCGCAAAGTGATCTGGTTGCAAAAAGAAGTTGACCTCCATGCTACTTGTGCGGAGTATTCTCAATTCAAAGTAAAACAGATAATTCTTATATTGTGACTGGTGCATAAATAGCGTGGTTAGATGAAGTTTATCCTCTGCAGAAGCCAAAAGCTAAGGTCATGGGTTCTCCATGGACAGTGAAGTCCTTTTGGTCTAATGGAAGGTGACCTTGGTAGTTGATAGGTGATTAGTTTAATAATTTCTCAGTTCAATTTTATCCAAGGGTACTCTACTATTATTGCTTTGCTGAAAGGACTTTATTCTGCCAGTGTTTACTCTCCCTCTTTCTCTTGCTAGTTTTTCTTTTATATTTTTTATCTTTTTATTATTTTTTTCTGTAATTTTTCAGGCCGCAAGGAGTGAAGGTGTTACTGTAATTATGGATGCTGGTGGAATGGATGCACCAATGCCCCAAGAATTGTTGAATTTTGTTGATATCTTGAGCCCAAATGAATCTGAACTTGGTCGATTGACTGGATTGCCTACTGAGAGTTTTGAGCAGATTAGTCAAGCAGCTGCAAAATGTCACAAAATGGTGAGTTTGGCACACCTAAAATGGTCCTCAGCATGGCATTTGTTTAACCCAGAATTAAGTTGTGACCTGAAGTTCGTAAATAGGGTGTTAGACATCTTTTAGAAAGATAACTTATAAATAAATTGTCGCAACCATTCAGAAGTGGCAACAATTGTGATAATAGGGTAAAATTATTATGGGCTTATTTAATTGAAGGATTTATTTCCTGAGAGAGCTGTGTGCCATTCTGTGTCTGTAAACTCTCCAAATAATAAAGCAATAAGTATATCATGTTACTATGTTTCATTATTGCATGTGTAGTTTATATCTCTGCTCTTCCATGGCAAATTCTGTCTTTATGGGTAATGCTCTATATACTTCAGAGGAGACATGCTTCTTGTAGACTAATAGTACTTGAAACATATGCTCTAGCATGCTGAACTCCCACACACATGCTACAGAAATAGACATTGGACTAGGTTCTTTGAATTGGGATCTTAAAATGTCTCATTGACAGAATGCACATTTGAAGCTCTCCATCAGTAGTAAAATCTTTTCATGCAGCAAGATAGATAGGGGCTAGTTTTTTTTTTTCTTCTTTGACCATATCTTTTATTAACTATAACAATTGGCCTTCTGTGGCAACAAGCTTTTTTGGGCAATTATATGAGTCTGTAAGCAGATGCCAAGAATTTTCTGCAAGTTAAATTGAATACCTTTCAGGGTGTTAAGCAAGTTCTTGTGAAACTTGGGGCCAAGGGATCTGCCTTTTTTGTAGAAGGTGAGGAGCCAATCAGACAGCCTATCATTCCAGCTGCAAAAGTTCTAGACACAACAGGAGCTGGTGATACTTTTACTGCATCTTTCGCAGTGGCTCTGGTAGAGGGGAAGTCCAAAGAGCAATGCTTGAAATTTGCTGGTATTCCTAGCAGTCTTCTCTCTCTCTCTCTCTCTCTCTCTCTCAGTTTCTCATACTCATTTGGTCATTTTTTCCTAAAACATGACCTTGCTTTTATTAACTTTATGAGGATTTGGTCCTAAACATGGTACAATGGCATAATATAAATATATTGTGTATATTTATTTATTTATTTTTAATGCAACATATATCCTCACATATATTTTGTTTTTTAACAATCTCGCAGCAGCAGCAGCCTCTCTTTGTGTTCAAGTGAAAGGAGCCATTCCTAGCATGCCTGACAGGAAATCTGTTTTGAAGCTTCTTCAGTCTGCATGAATTTATTCTTGTTTCCATGATGGTTGGGTGCAATGTTCCTCTATGCATATAAATAAAGCATCAGATTTCATTTTGGTTTACTGGATATAAGAGTTTTACAAATTAGATGTCAGAGGAAAGTATGAAATCTGTAAGAGAAAGGCTGTGCCAGAGTTAAAATAAGGAAAAATGATAATGTTGCACACTATGTTGTTGGTAGTTTCATTTTCAAGCTTCTGCTTCCTAACCTCCAAGTAAAGCCTCTCACCCGAAGATGGAAATTGGTTCGAATATAATCCGGGTTTCGGATGGAACTGAATATACAGCCTGAGGATTGTGCAATATTGGCTTCTTTGATTGACTTCAACTCATCTTTTTCACGAGGCCTTAGAGAACAGACAGAGACAGCCTTGTTTCCCCTGTGGAACTGTTATGATCCGAATAAAAATAAATGACAGGAGTTGTAATAAAAATAAACTTAAATGGCAATTTTATACCAGACTTGACCCATAGATAACTCTATTTTCTAGTATCTGCACGAGGATAAGATACAAGCTTTGCATTCGAAGGCCGGCACTGATGAAAACAACTGAAAAGAAAAAGACTACAAAATCAAGCTTTTGAGGGACAATTACAAGAGAGTAGAGACCACAACTGGCACTGGTCCCTATTTTACCGTACGACGTGTTGATGAGGTCAAGAGTTTTCAGCCAGTGTTCTGGTCCCTTCAATGCTCCGCGGTACCTAAATGTCTAGCATCAAAACCGCAGTGTCTCCCGCAGTGATGTGTGACCATATCCAGCACTCGTTAATTTGTACATATCAGTACATCCCCTGCAGTAGGAGTTTTAAGTAATTCACCAACGGACATAGAGTTGTCAATTTATCAAAGAAGAACTAAAAAATTACTACAATAAGGTTGGAGCCTAATGTTTTTATATAATTAGGGAACATCCATTACAAAAGTACTAGGTTATATTTCTTGTAAGCTGCTAAATGCTATCCAAATCAAGTAGAGAGTTTCATTGCTAAGCCATGCATGCAATTGGACGTAAAAATATTTTGTTAAGAATTGTTCCCAAAGATTATGGTCCCCTACGCCAAAAGTCATGATTTGTGGTGTGGCTGGTCTGGGTTCCTCAGCTCTTTCCTGCAAGGTATGGTCCGGTCCGGTCCGGTCCCTTCCACACGGGCAAACCAATCTCTTGCAATCTTTAGCAATTACTGCTACAAGTTGTTTGAATGTTCAATTTTAGCTTGACTATTGACATTACCTGTGAGGAATTTGTTTAGGAGGAGGCTGGTAGCAAACAGAGCATAAATTTGAGGTAAAAAAAAAAAAAACCATGAGAGAATAACTTAATGTAGTGTCAAATGAACTCAATTTACGTGCTTATGTAGGCTTATTTCATCATTTTATTACTAGCTAGGCTATGTAGAAGAAATAGCGATATTATACACAGTGAGACATATGAACTCTTCGAAGAATGGCCGGCCCCTTGAAACAGAAATCCCATTGTGATTGAGCATCAATGTTTCTATGAAAAAGGCATATGCGACCACATGCCAACCGACCTAATGAAAGCTACGTTTCCCTTATCTCAACTCTCTAACTTTACCCCAACCCTTCCTACTATAAATTCAATGGCTCTATTGCATATGGAGCAGTGAACCAATCTCCTTTTCCCATCCTTTCTCTTCATCTTTTATGACCCTTTACGAGGCTTTCTCTTCATGCTTTTTTTCTCTATCTTGCTCTTCCAATCTCATCAATCTTCAGCCCATTAACTTGTTGGTAGTTTTGCCTGTTCGATGGAAGAAACAATGGCTAAGTTCCGGAACCTTGGAAGGTTCACCACCGAAGTTGCCCCGCCTCAGCTTATCTCAGTTGCCAAGCCTCCATTGAGAAAAACGCTGGCTACAATAGCTGAGGAAGAAAAAGAATTCAGGGATGATGAAGTTACAGGACCAGCAGGCAGACCTACAATTCGGCTGTCAAGGCAATTGGAGTGGTCAACATTACTCCTCATCACCAAGCCAATTTAATGGCCAAACCAAACAGCCTCCTTTTTTTGTAATGGTTGTTTTAAGGAAATAATGGCCTGGGATAGAGGCTAATTAACGTGAATAATTGTAGATTAGGAGAAACAACTATGTGCAACATTGTGTGTTGTTTTTGCCTTGTTTAGATTTTTTTCTGTCCAATTTTTTTGCCCCGCAGATGAGTCAGTGTCGAGTTTGTCTCAACTCAAGTACGAAGTACTAGTGTACCATCAATAAAGCTTTCCTTCCTTCTTGTTTCTGTGGATTTATATATGCAATAACAGCTTAAGGTTGAAACTTTCCGATGTTTTAGCACTGCCCTTCGTAAAATAAAAAAGAAAGATCCTTTTACTTCTCCATTTATCATCCTTGCAATCACCACTTAATGTGATTGGACACCTTCAATACAAGAAGGAGATGGTTTATTTGAATATTTTGGTATAATACATAAGCCTTTCTCATATATTTTAACAACTTTTTATTGAAATACAACAAAATAATAAACCGCCATATAAAGGCCTGAAAGTCTTGTAAAGGTGAAAGGGTAAACCACCTCATTTGCCCTCATATTTCTTCTTAAGCTCCATGAGGAAGCAATACATTTTGTATTGGTCAGGCAGAGATTTGGACACACTCTCCCTTTCCATGCATCTTTTAGCCCATGCAACCAGCTTTGGGCACTCTGTTATGATGCTCAATTTCCCACAGGTCTCCAGTGCATAGAACCAACTGTAGAAGGGAATCAATGATACATCCATAAACCCAAAGCTCTCACCTCCGAAATAAAGCTTGTCTCCAAGCTCTCCTTCCAGCAGCTTGAAGCAACCAATCAGCCCTTTCTTTGCAGCTTCTTGGACCTCGCCTGTTGCTCCCCAAACTAACTTCCCCGTCGGATATATCTGCATATATTGCATATTCAATGTTAAAACTTCTAAACTAAACTAGTTACAAGAAATAAAAGAAAGAAAAGTTTTTGTCCTAATAAATTATTAGTGATAAGATAGTTAAGAAAGGTCTACTATCATATTAAAGTTTAAAACTTCTAGTAACTTCGGCAAAGCTGATCAAGTGATAAGGGTGAGATGGGATTGCTCAACTAACAAAGCTTGAACTCAAACTAGATGGAATTATTGAAAACTAATAGTTGGAGCAGCAGTTGAGCTTGTAACCTTTTTGTCAACAAAGTCAGCCCAGAACCTGGTATCGGCTCTGTCATAAGGATGAGAAGGGAGCAGAGGAGACTTGTCTCTCCAAACCTCATCGATGTATTGAACTATGATGAGGGATTCACAAACAGGTCTCCCCTTGTGGATCAACACAGGGATTTGCTTGTGAACAGGATTCATCTTCAAAAGTAGAGCACTTTTGTTGCTCAAATCCTCTTCCCTTGATTCATAATCAATTCCCTTCTCTGCCAATGCAATTCTCACCCTCATTGCAAATGGGCTTGACCAAAAATCCAATAGTATTACATCATCTGCCATTGTTTTTTGTTTGCTGTGTTTTCTGGGCTGTGGCAAAATAAGTGAATGTTACTTATATAAAGCAAACGAGACGGTGAGCGAATGTTGTAGAATTCTCCTTTGGTACGTTTCCAGGGCTTTCTTGGGCTTCATTTAGTGTTAGCAGAGCTTGCGTCGGATCACACAAACTCTCGCTTAACTGTGTTCATCCTTATCCTCTAACAAGTTTCGAAGAAATGAGTTTTGGTACTTCGACTTACATCATGACTTTGCTAGTCAAGCCACATATCAGTCCATGTTGTCACCAAGGGTCGACGCCTCAATCTGATACACTTCAATTTTCAATTTTTGTTATCTTCATTGCTTGCTATTTTCTGTTCTAGTAGACACTATAGTTGGAAAAGGTGTTCCTTTTTTTCTTCTTCTGAACCTTTCAAAATAAGGTTAACACTTGGCTGCTCATTCTTTTTCCCAGAAGATTGACCCGATTTAAATGGTTGGACCTGAACATTTGGGCTAGGGCAGGTCTCCCATTTTGAAACCCGGAATGAAAATCATAGTTACAAGATGGAATAATCTTCTTCCCCAACTGAGTAATTCTCTGGAAAGCTAATTCAACTAAGAAAGGTTCAAATTACCGAAGGCCTATGTCATAATCTTATTTTCTTATTTATACAACAAAGTTTCTTTAATCATACACATCCTTTAACACACCCCATAGCAACCCTTAGCAAAACTGGGACTAACAGCAAATGTGATCCAATTTTACAGATTTATCATCATTCTATCATAATGAAGTTATCAAATCCCAATCAAATGACAAGGACGATATAATAGAATTCTATTCCCTCTGATTGTTCTTCAGTTTGGAACAATATAAGATAATTAAAAAAAATTTTAAAAAAAAATGCTCAAAGCTACTACAGTAATCATAATGTCAAAATAGTTGAATACAAATCTCCATATGCAATTGCAAAACGATAAAACCCTCTATTTGCACCTTACTCACAATCCATAATACTACCATTGTGGAATCATTAGCTCAAGCACCAGGGTATCTAAAATACAGGGAATTGGCAATCTCCTCAGCTCAGCTAAGGCTAACAATCAAGAAACGGATTTCACATTTTCTGAGATATAAACATGCATGATTCATGTGCAGCTATTTTCCTTTGAAAGCTAACTAATTAGACACTACAGAAGTCAAAAATGGATCATTCAGTGTCATAGAGATTGTTGATCCTGCTGTCATGCTCGCAAAGGGGCAAGCTAACACAAAATTCCTTTCTCACAGAGAAAAGAAGGGCCCTAGGTAGTGCATTGTATTTAATTGACATAGCTTTGCATGCCTTTGACATGAAACCATCACTTTGCCCTAAACAACTAAATGAACGAGGTAGAAGTTTAATAAAAAAGTGAGAAAACTGATAGAAAGGAAGAAAGATTTAGATAACCTGCTATTTCATATTGCCAAAAACTAATCTACAAATACAAATGACAGTTGAAGAAGTTAAATTCCAGAAATAGCTCAATTTGTGACCATGATAGACATCTCTAATTTTTACATAAAATTAGTACATAAGCCAAGATGTCTTAAGACTAAAGAGTAATTACATTATGCTCAAGATTTTAATTGAATTTTCATACCATTCACTCAAACACTTAAAAGAAGTTGAAGAGAACATATAAATCACTGAATGTAATCTCTTTGGGTGCATTGGCAACAAATTCATTTATCTATTCAGACCTCAGACCAAGTAAAACAGCTGCAATTTCAGACACAGTCCAAAACCAAACATCTCAAATTTTGTATATAGGCAGAACTACAAAGAGCACATACACAGATACAGAGTGGAATATTATTAAGTCAGCCAAATAAACTAGCTCAAAGTACTGAACTACTGATCGTAATCAAGCTTAACAGGATAGGTAGTCTACAATAGTCCAGGCCTTTATATTTATTTAATAATAATCATGAAAAAAAGAAGGTAAAAAACCTTAGATTAAAATTCTCATTCAAATTTATAGTGCTTGTCAACAGCCACAGAAACTTCCCAAGTGCAACTCATTCCTTTAGGGAACTCAACCAAGTCACCAGCACCAATCTCCACAAACTCCTTGCTTCCATCAGGGTACACCTTAACTTTACCCTCTAACAGATAACATGTCTCTTTGGCATCATATGTCCAAGGAAATTTACTAGGAGGACAACCCCACCTGTAAAAATCCAAACACAATTACGATATATTCTCAATCTCAGAGAGCTTGGGTCATGAAGTTTACAATCTTTAGATTTCAGGTCATCATGCCTAGGTATCAATCTAACTTAATATCGGATGAGAGAGCTTGAATCACCAAAAAAAAAAAGACCCATCAGTAGAAAATAGTAGTAGACAAAAATAGACAAAGGTTTTACATACTTGGGCCACTGGCGAACGCCAAGCTGAGAAAGTTTGGATTCTGGAGGGTTCTTTTCCACCTTGATTCCCAGTTTCTCAGTAGCCATGCTTTCTGCTCTTACCTTGGCGGCCAAAGGATAACGCAAGGATGACTGCTTGGGCGTGGCGTGGCTTCTCAGTAACAACAAACTTGAGCTTCCACAAGCAAAAGCACATGCCATTTTTCAATCAGTCTATTTTCTGAATATGGAGAACAGGAAGAGAGGCCCAAAGAGCGAATTCACCTTTGTTTTCTTTGCATTGCAGCCATATGGGATATGGGCCGTTCTTGCCTCATCCTTTCCAAGCCAATCCCTCTTTGCCGTTTGGCGTTTCGGCATCTAAAACGTTTTTGTAATAATTCAGTTCCTTCAAACAGGTCCATATAAATATTTGCACTACAATATGGTTTTATTCAATTTGGTGATTAGTACTTGTTTATAATATAAAATCTTGAATTATAATTAAGTTTTATTGATTATATTTTAGTTTTTTATTTAATGATTTTAATGGAAAATGTTACTAATAATTGGGGGAAATGATCCTAATGATCATTCTTCGGAATGAAAGAGAGCAGAATAACCATTGGCAACCTCCTCCCTTGGCTAGGACTAATCCAGGTGCGTAACAATAAACTTAAAAAATTTATTAAACAAAAATATCTTTAATCAATTTTAAAAATTACTATCGAATCATTTTTCACATTTTTTTCATCTCTACTCGCTAAATTTCTTTTCTTCAGCACCGAATGGACGGTGGCACCGGTGCCACCACGGCAGGGTTTGGTCGGAGGAAGCAACTATTGTGCAGGCATTCAAAAGCATCAACTTGAAATATGAAGTTAAAGTATCGCAGGGAGGCAGCCAAGACATCTCAAATAAGAGCACATAGGCAAGGCGTAGCCAGATCTTTTAAATGTTGACATGCTCAACAGCACATGAAAAGAATCTCGGTTTGAAGCACCAAGAATTTCAGTAATTTGTTTTTAAAATCAAAGGAGTATAATATCGTCCTGGAGCTGCCTTTCTACACCTGTTAATAGACATCCACAAGCACGCAAAGACACATATATATGACTGAAAGAAATATTTCACGTATATAGCTAGAATGTCATGATTACATAGTCACGTCGGAGTACATGACAGTACACAAGTATAAACTGCTATAGTAATAAACTTGGAACCAGGACTAATACACCAAAAATCATCAGTCATTCATGTAACTAGGCAAAATTTTACATTGTTTTAAACTCTATTGATGATCAATGTGGCTAATTGTAACAAAGGTTTCTTGTAGGAATGCAAAGACTACACTAGACTAGACTAGAACATGTTTTGACTAACTGCCATCACTCATATAAACCTCAAGGCTCAATCTTATGGGTGCAGACTGAGTGTAGTGGCTATAAAAGCATGGCATTATACATTGATAACACAACAGTTCAATCAGAACAGAGCTAGAGGAGTAAAAAGAAAAAATGGCATTTTCATGAAAGGATCAGCTAAAACAAGTGTAGGTGAACAGTGGTAAGAGGTAAAAATGAACAAAGTGGCACAAACCATTGTCCCCAACAAGAAAGACAGTAATGTATAGTCAAGCTTCAGAAACCACCATGCTAAAAGGCAATACAGCCTCAACAGCACACGAGAACTCCAAACTAATGTAGATCTTTCCAATAAAATAGATTATGGAAAACTACAATGCAAATTTCATCTGAATTGAATGGATAAATGTCCAATAAAAACAGTTTCTGCAGATTACTTACCATCAGACACCCACTGGATCACTGGTATAACAGAAAATTCACTATTATTTCTAATCCCTTAATCCAACCCTAAAACATTAGATAAAACCAGAATGAGACATGCACACCACAGAATAGAAAATAAAATAAAAAGTGCAAGGAACAAAAGTCACAAATTTCCAAGTTTTACTCGTAATTGAGTCCAAACACAAGTAAAGCACTAAAAAATCCCTCAACCAAATATGGATACAACAATCCTAAGGAGAGGAAAGATTTTTATGCGCTAAGGAGGCCAATGAAAGATTTAAACAATGAACCTAGGCTTTTGATGATAAGCTCCTAGGGTCTTCCAATTCAATCATGAATCAAAAATTTTGCATCTGCTAAATACGGACTAATTAATTAACACTGATATTTCCTCCAATTACCTTTCACACAAACAACTTGTGAACAAGGTAGCAACATAAAAAATTAACAAACAGAAGGCAGCCTGGCAATTCACATGGAGGGAAAAATCTCCAAGATGATCTATGATTCAAACATTAAGCAAATCCAAACATAGCAAATTGCAATTAACAGCATGCTATTACGCAGATATAATAAGCAGTTACTCTCTATGCAAGAGATTAATATAATCCAAGTTAACCAAAATTAAATGCTACACATAAGTCTCAATTGAAAAAAACCAAAAACAAACTCCCAATAACCACAGATGTAACATTTCTTTAAAATGCTCAAAAAAACTAACTACTTATACCAGCACCCTATTTGTCTTCAGACTGGTAAAATTCCAACAACATCTTAGCCTCCTCCTTGATCAACTCAGAACGTTGTAAAAACAGCTCCAACTCTGCAATTTGCAATTTCCTCCACTTCTCTTCCAAAGCTGCTCTCTTTTCTGCCCCAGTTATCTCCAATCCGTGCTTTAAAATTTTTTCTTCCATACCAGCAAGGCCAATGCTCTTATCAAAGAAACTAACTACACTCTTAATCTTATTATCAAGATCCATTGGCTCCACTTTCTTCTCTGGTGAGAAAATTTCTGGTTTCACTACAGGCAAAGCTTTAGTGTTTCCCTTAGTTTTCCCATTTGACTTTACAGCAGAAGACTCAGTTTTTCCACTGATGCCTTCTTTACCCCATATTTTCTTCGATAAATCAAAAGCCTTCTGCTCATGGACCTTAGAAAAAGTCTTATCCTCGCCTTTCTTTCCTTTACCAGCATTGTTTTCAAATTTTTTTCTTAACCTCCTAATTTTATCCATCAACTGAGCTTTGGTAACATCAATATGAATTGATTTCTTCACAAAATCATAAAATGCGTTCATATCAGCACAAGGATCAGCTCCTTTTTTAGCATAATAATCCAACATACCTTTTAACACAGCAATTTCATCATCTTCACTAAACAGCCGCTGGAAGAGCTGTTTCTTTGCATCTTCTCCAGTCTTCTTGACCTCCTCAACAACAGCAACCTCCGTTACTTCTTCCCCAGCTTTTTTCTTGGCCCGTTTCACATCCTTTGCTTCTTGCTCTGACTCGCTGGGCCGCTTAGTTGAAGAAGCTTTAATCGGTGAAACCAATGGTTTGGATCTAGGTTTTTTGGTGTTTGAAGCTTCTTCCATAGGTTTTGTTGCAATAGGCTTAGGAGTTTGGCTGTCGGTGTCGGATTCAGACTCGGAATCCGTGTCAGATTCATCAGATTCTTCACCAACGGTTGCAGCGGTGGCAATATCAGGCTTTTTAGGAGGTTGAGGTTTCTGGCTTTGTGGGGTAGTTTGGGTTTTGGGCTCTTCCTCTTCTTCTTCAGACGAAGACCCTTCTTCTTCTTCTTCAGATGAAGTCTCCTCTTTTTCTTCTTCAGATGAAGAAGCAGTGGGTGGATCTTCAATGGGGTTTGAACGCTTTCGTGCCATCGACTTTCAAACAGAGAAGAGATTACAAAAGTGTTAGGGTTTGATGGGTTTGATGTTTTTATAGGGAAGAGCTGTCAAGCTGGAAACTCCGAAGCCAAAGACCTCAACTTTCACCGATATTTAACTGTATAAAGGCAAAGGAATCCATCCATCCATCCGACTCGCCCAACCCTAAATTTTGAAAAGAAGAAAAACAAAACCTTTTGGAGTGGGCTTCTAGGAGCTGGGCCTTGGGACACCACCTAAGTTTTAGCCCATTAAGTATTATAGCTAAAAAATTTAATAGTAGGTTATATAAGATTTTTTTTATTTAAGTAAAATAAGAAAATTAATAGTCCTATTAACTTATAAAGAATCTTTAATTGAAATGGTTCAATGAAATTTAATTTTATAAAAAAATAATTCTTTAACTCAAATTTTTTCATTAATCATAATGTTGAAAAGATGAAATTTAAAAAGATAATAGTAATATTTAAGAAGTTAAGTTTATTAATCTAATGCCCCTTGTCTATTTCAAATATTAATTGTTCATATCTTTTTTCCATTTAAGTTTACTAATATTTAATATATATTATTTCATTATATATTTAAATTGAAGAATGGATAGATGTTACGTACATGATTAAATAAGCAATAATATTAATAAATGCATCATACAATATTTTAATTTTAAAGTATCACATATGCATTTTTATCAAGTGTGAAGTGGTTGTTGCCTTAGAGGTCTAAAGTTGAATCTCTAACTCTCTCTTGTATCTTGTTATATGTATCCCAAAACAGAAAAAATATTATCAAGTGCAATGGGTTAATTTCTCTACCCATATGTGATTCATTAGAGATAAAAAGGAAAACATATGATGAATCTTGGACTGAATTAGTATTATAATTTATGACTAACTAAGCCTCTACTCTTCTATTGTACCCTAAACTCTTGAAGTACTCTTTTGTTTAATTAAGGGATTTAAGTAGTTTTCATATAAAATAAGAGTTCAATTAAATAAACTAATACTTTAAAATTTAATTGAATCATATCACACATCGGACAAGAACGGGAGGTCTTGGGCTCTTTATAAGCGAGTGTGCTGCACACCCCTATAAGCACGTTTATGGGGGAGAGGGTAATGATCTCGTGACAGTTGGTATCAGAGCAGTTTGAGATCAGTGTGTACGCCACAGTTTGCAAGCTTGTAGGAGGTGTTCGGAAGTGAGATATGACTACTAGTGGGTCAAGCATGTCAAAATCCATGCCCAAAGGAAAGGAAACGCGTGTTGGTGGAAGGGCAAAGTCTGCCTCACGCAACCTCATTTTTGGTCTGGACGCTAGACTGTCAAGGGTGGAAGTGACAGTGGGCGAGATGAGTGACCGTCTCGATGTGCAGGAGGAGAACATGGAAGAGCTCCATGCTCGAGACGAGTAGCTCAAAGGGGAGGTCCAGGAAATGGTGAGGGAG